CAAAGATTTGGATTTCACACAAAAGGGGGTGATCGGTTCACATAAAATGTGTTAAGTAATCTAATAAGGCACCCAGAGTTATGAAAGTCAAAGTACGTTGCGAAAGTGTACGCTTAAACACAGTAGGAGGACTTTGCTAAGCACTGTATGACACTAATCGGTAGACCGTTTCCGTCCTTTCTAATAAAGTGCAACTCTACGCGAATGCGTGTGCAGTCTGGGACCAAAACAACAGTTATGCTGGTAGATAGCTAGGGCACCAGTAAGTATGCACACAAAAGCACCAAAGTACAAACAGAAGCACACATTTGTTCAATTGGGGTGGGAGGGGAGGGGATTGGAGGCAGCTAAAGGCAATGCAAAATTCAAGATGAGAAATGGGTGCAGCTGTACTCGGTGTTTCGGGTTATCGCCTGTGGGTTATATATAGCACGCAAATTGTTGCAGGGGAAGGCGCTGACAGGACACGTTGCCAATGATTCTGTAACACTTTCTATTCTACCCGAAGATTACATTATCCATATTAGTGACATGCTTCCAGCTTTCAGAAAACGACCGTGAAGCAACTCCACGAGAGTTATAATTGCGCCATGGTTGAAGGCTTTTTGAACTGGCAAACCATTCCAAAACATATTAATTCAGCCTTCACCTTAAGATATTTCCGCGCAACAGTTTACGGTTGATTACAAAAGTACGGAACTTGGCAAAACTAGTTTGAAAGTCTAGTTGTCGGCAGCAGGCGCTCGGGAAAACAGACAGTATCAAACTATGACCGAAGCGAGTTAGGTCCAGCTACATCCCCTGAGACCGCGCACGCGGCATAGACGTTTAAGGACGGAACCACGCAAACTCTATGGAGCCAGCTATATTCCACAAACCTAAAAATTCGAAAGATGAAGATTTGCAGGACAAAAACAGCCAACCAATGTCGCCACTGTCGATAACTGGCTCCTGAGATCAACGGGCACATTGTAGGCTAGCCTCAGAAGGAACTACCAATCGAAGAGTCCTGGCTAACTGCCCTTAAAATTTGCCGTTTTTAATCCGGTATGCAGCCTGGGTAGGGCAGTTAATGGGGAGGAAGCTAAACATGGCACCGGTGGCACTGAACCAGAAGCCACGCCTGCAAAGTGAGTCATGAGTGAGCCAGGCTGGCGCAGGCGGTGACTGGGTTTTAGCTTAAACAGCTAGCACAAACATGGACAGAGGCGTGCGGTAACAATAAGCCTATTGGCTCTTTTCGACGACTCACTGCGCCCAGATGACGGACGAGTGTGTTAAACGCGCTCCTTCACCCTCTGCAGAGCGCAAGAAAGCTAACTTGCCGATGTCAGCGGAACCGTAACCAAAAATTATCAATAGTCAGGTACAGCTCGTTAGTCGGTGAGCAGGATTTTCATTTTCGCAGGCTTCACTTTTAGCCTGAATTTGCGGGGAGAAGGCTGGATTGCAATTGCCCGAAAAATAGCCAAGCAGGCGACCTTGGCATAGCCGACGTTCGACATCAGATTTTTTGCCAGATGGATGCCTGCTGAGTCAGGGAATGCCGAACTAAAAACTAAATCGGCCACATGGGTGAGGAGGAATGAGAGGGCAGTGCTTTGTTGGAAATCAGCGCCTACGGCGGAGTTTTCGTCCTCTTCACCGCCGCATGCCCGAACCTTTGTTCGGATGACCTTAAAGAAAGCGCTTCTGTCAACGCAATCACTGGAAAACAAAAAGAAGCCAGCTAATAACTATGCAAGGAGAAAAAGGCTCATTGTTGGCTCTTCGTATGTGTATGCGGGTGTCAGACTAATCAACCTCGAACTCGCATAGGAATGAGGGTCTGACTGTGAACACTTATTCCACAGTCAAACTATCTACCTGCTCTCACTTTTCCACACCCCAGACTGGTAAATGGCTTTTTTTTAAGAACAAGGGCGTTGTTATAAAATTCGCAGTAAGGTGGGCATGCGACCGAAGAGGAAATCGACTCGGGATCCTGGAAAAGAATTCAGCTTAGATGTCAACTAGACTGACGATTCCATATCTAGGACACTACAGTTTGTCAGCCTTGTTTATGAAGGAAAACAGAACGACGTGTCACGATGCAGTATTTCTCGACTATTGAAGTAGTTATATAAACTGAAAAATAACTTCAAGACAGCTGCTGCAGACTTCAGCTGATGATATGTCTTCGGTCGGTACTTTTTGTTTCACTCGAACAAAGGCAATTGGCATTTAAAGGTGAGAATAAGATGCAGCTAGCAGGCAACGCCCGAAAGAGGAATAGAACGAGGAACAAACCTTTGAATCCAAAAGGAGATTGTCTGGCTTGATATCTCTGTGAATGAAGCTCATTTTGTGAATGGAATCAATCGCCAGGACGGTCTCAGCGACATAGAACTGCGTCTGCGCTTCGGTGAGGGTATCCAACTTCATTAACAGGGTCATCATGTCACCTTTAAAAAGAAGAAAGATAGGTTAGCGTATTTGTAAAATTAACGAAACTGTCATAAACGAGACTGAAAGTACACTTTGAGCCTACCGACAAGTTAGCTAAAACAGAGCCTGAAATCGCAGATGAATACATGCTGTCGCAGGTCATTAGATTTACATACTATTGTCTTCTCGCCCAAGGCTACCCTGTAGGTGTTCTGCTAGAGTCTGCGGAATGAAATGGACCCCACCGTTCCCTACAGCGAACCAGAACACTCTGATCGAAGCCGTCGACCGAAATGCGGCAGCACCCTGAACTCCTCCACTATTTCCATTTCGCGCCACGCGTGGATAACTGGGAGTATAGTTATGGGTGGATGTCGTCATTAGTGTAAATATAAATGGGGTAAATAGTTGACGCGGATAAGGCCACAGACGGCAGATTTGCACAGTTGGCGGGCATACTGAGATTTCTTCTGTCGAAGTAAGGTAAGTTGTTGGGAGAGTTAGTGGGATAGACTCAGCGCAAGTCCACCTTAATATAAGCAAATTCAAAAGCAAATCATCACTGTATCCTCTAAGCGACAACAGTGGCGGTTGTCTTCGTTCGCGACGGGCGAACTACTGAACCCTTATCTGAAGTACCCATTTCCAAATTATTGACCAAGTGCCATTGCAGCATTAAGGGTTTTTGACCCCTGCGACAAAGTTCGAGATGTGCCCAATAGCATTCAGATCCGGGGCGAGTGAGAATTGACTTGTTCAGAGAGTACGTTTGTTGAAGCGAAAAAGGCGGTTCCTGGACAATGTCCTGTGGTATGTCCACGGCCTGTTAAAACAGCTTCCTACGCGGGCCTTCTGTTCTCTGCACCGTAGCTGTTCTGGTGCAAACTGAATAAATTTAACTTTCGGTTGGACGATATATTCGTCTTAGTGTGTCCTGACCCTTCAATTCCCCCCAAAAGATTGGATAACCCGTTCCTGGGGCAGCTCACCGAAACAAAATCCGACTGGCTATCAAGGGCAACTGCAAATGGATGGTGAACATGACACCTGGTTAATTTTTGGTCCTTTTTACGAGACAAAATTGTAGGATCGATCTTTTTCATTCGCTTATATAGTATTCAATAGATACTTACTCTACCTAGACATGCCCCAAGTTACTCAAGACCTAAGCACGACAATTCAACCATCAAAAATATGATGCGCACCACGTGTTTTATCAGACTGAAAGAGGAATGAGGCACAGGTGGCCGGCTGCTATTTTAAAACGATAATAACAAAATTCTAAAAAAACAAAGCGCACATCGACTATTTTTGAAACTAAAACGAGCTATTATTATTTCCCCACAGCGGGTTGATAGATGCTATTATTAGTTAGCCCAGATATACAGTGAATCCAGGTCATTGCCTAGAAGGATCGTTTTTCGGCTAACAGTGCACTACGAATGAGATGTGACTAAATTAGTTGACATGTAAGTTGATGCAACGTTGGCAATGGCTTATAAGTTGCGCAAAACATGAGTTCAAATTTGTCGTGCTAAAGAGTACCGTCACTAAGTCGTGGACTGATTGTTCGAAGGCTTGCTGTCAACAGTTTTAACCAACAGATGGAGCGTGCCCTGTTGGCTTCTCATAATATAATTATTTGAGTAGCTTGTAAAGATTCTAGACACGATACATGAGAAAATCCCACCTTCCGTTCTCTAAGTTCTTACTTAAATAATGAACACGATTTTTATAATTTACTATTTTCTAGATCACGGCTTCTAATGGGGTTGTAAAAGCGTACTTCATACAAAGAGTGTAGGGGTATATATATAGGTGGAGAGTAAAGTTTTGTCTGCATATCACAATTCTGCAGGGGCCCATTTTGCCAAGTTAAACGGAGCATACCAAGATGGAAAGGTCGCCTTTTGGTATTCAATTGAAACACAACTTTCACTGCTGAGTACATTTTCTGTTTATGTCCTGGGCGAGGACTCAGATAAAAATGCATAAACTCGGGAGAAAGACTATCGAGTCGAAAAGTCATTACATTAGTTGCAAAGACCATAGGGACATATGCCACCACCGAAGCCCCCAAATTTGCTTACTGAGGCACAAGGTTTATGGCCTAGTTGGCCCAAATATCAGTCATTCCGACGTTTGACTGGAAAACACTAAAAACTATCCTGACCGCGGGACGACAGTTTTCAGTCGTTATTGGGTTGCCGTGCGCAGCATTTAATGTGTTTTCAAATATCGCCAACCCGTGGGGAGTAATTACAAAAACGGCGGGCACAAGCGAGGACCAAACCAGGGCACAAAAGTAGAAACACCTCCGTTTACCACGATCTTTTCAGCCCAATAAATCCGTCTTCTTTCATAAACTTTTCAGTCTTCTTAATCGGAGGCACAGAAGAGTGATCTTTACAGACCTACGCATGTGTGAATTCCTTCAAGTGGTCTTGCGAAATGGGACACATCGTACGGACCACTCGACATTTCCCAAAGACGATTCAAGAACACCTATTTATCTCCTCCGAAAAGGAACAAGTTAAGCTCGATTTTACAACATCAGATGGATGCTTGCGAACCCTGCTGCATACTCTATCCTGTTTCAAATGGTTAAGACAACGCAGACTGACGAGATGTCAGGGAGGCAGACCTGGATGTTGAACAAAAAGGAAAGGAAATGGTCCACTGGGCAAAAATTCACGCAATTGTTCTGCATAAGTTAGTAGGTAGCGCGATGGGGCAAGGAGCCAAATGATAACGGTAACGAGATACTGCGTTTGTTTCGACGTTACGCTGGCAGCTGGTGACGGTTAAAGCCAGGTGAAAAGTACAGCTGCAGGCGTTGAGGGGGGGGAGGGGAGGACAAAAGTAATAACGTTGTAACTATCGATCATTTGGTGGTAGCCGATTGGCCCAAGCAAAAGTCGCTCGGTCCGGTCACCGCACATGATCACCATGGCAAAGAAGAATTTCAAACTAGGTGGCAGAATTGTCTTATTGAAGCAAACAATAAGCTGGCAGGCCAACAACTGGAAGTAGGCAATGCCTGAAGGCTGCCAAGGGAAATTCTAAACGAGGGAAACAAAGGACAAGGTCCCTAGTCAATAGCTCGCCGTTGCTACTCGGGATATTTGGATAGGAATGTTTTGTTCCAATGTGGGACGGTTAAATGAAGTCTACCATTTGCGTAAACACATCGGTCTGACTATGGAAGGCTGAAAACAACTTCTATCCGACCCGTTTTTGTAGAAACCCGGCAGATTAGATAGCATCTTATTGCTAGCTCACAACCATCGCATTCCAATAGCAAACCTGGATCAAGGAGACAAGAAATAGACTGAACTGAACTGAGCTAAATACCGGCGAAACACGTGTCTGGGCCTTTTAGTTAGTACCTAGGCTGTTAGTATAGTAAGTTACAACATCAATATTTACTAATAAAGTGCATATTACGCAGTGGTTGGCGAGTTTTAGCCCAAATATGCACTTAAAATCTCGGTGTACATCTATAACCTTGAATATACTGATGCATACCACGGATAGAAATTGATTTCTCAGGAGATTAAAAAGCTGAACCTTCAAAACCACTATATCGACCAGAAAGCAGACAGGGAAAGCTGGGGGACCCACTGATGAGCCGGACTCCTCGCAGC